CACTATTTATTGTAAAACTGACCAACCATAGAATTTAGAAACAAAATGACCAACTTTACATTATATATGTAATTGAGACATACAATTACGCTCATAATATATTTAGTTAAAGCTATGAAATTGTGATAAAATTATTTAGATTTCGGCATTAAATAATTCATAAGAGCTTGATATGCCGCTAAACAATTTCGACCATCCATATTTATTTGTTATAGGGAAGCCACGCGAGCAACCGTGTAACTCGACTGACAAATGTCTCCTACTCGTACAGGGAAAGATAAACTAGAAGAGTATACTAAGTCTCGTCTCAAAACCGCTACGTCGTGGAAGTGACTACCACATGAATGCTCCCCCAATACTAAAACTTATCTTCCTCGAGTCTAGCATCAATCGTTATCTCTCCTCCTTATTCTCATAATCTATCCTCCTCAGGAGTTTTTGTTCTGCCCCCTCTTACGTCTCTTTCACACACCTCATTAAGTAACTTTTTGGTCTTGTATTGATTGAACATTCTTCTTCTTTGTGTCATATCTCGTCAAGACGTTGGTGATCATGGCTCTCCACAACTTTCTGTCGATTTTTCTTTTGCTATCTTTCCTAATCCTTGTTCTGCCAACCATTTACACGTTCATCTTAGGTATGTTATGTATTGCTCTCCTCTGTCTTTTTTGCCTTCAATATATCATATGAGTGTCAAATATTCCAAGCCTTCTCTCCGCATGATGTGTCATAAAACATCTAAACATCTAATTGTCTCTTTCTGGCTTTCATTTTCGCTAAAATGCCCTCGTGTCTCCCATGTCCAATCCACGGCATTCTCAGCATATTTTTGCTGTCTCAAATCCCTTCGTCTGTGATGAAATTGCCCAGTATTTACTCTCATATAGAAGGACGGATATAACATGACAAATCAGTATTCATTGATGCTACTGAAATTATACTGTTTCTTAATACTTTGCTTAGCTTCTGGGAGACTCCTTTCGCTATCCCAATGTACCTTCGGATTTCGGTATCGCCCATTTTCTTTCCAATTCCTCACATGTTTTCTTACTTTTTCTTACGAAATTCTATCACTTCCTCTTATTAACATTCGTTTTCTTTTGTTTCCTTTTCTTCATTTTGTCTACCGTTTCTTTTTTTCTTCCTTTTTTCCATTAGTTTCTTTCCTTCCTTCCTTTTTTTTACATGTTTCCTTCTTTTCTTCCTTTTGCTTTCCAATTTCTCCTTTTCTTCCTTTTTTCCGTTTCTTGCTTTTTTTACTCCCACTTCCTTGTTTTCTTCCTTTTTAGCGTTCGTTTCTCAATTTTCATTTTCTTCCATCATTCCTCGTTTTTCTTTCTTTTCTTTCGTAAACTCCCTTTTATTATTATTATTTTACGCCGTTTTTATTATTTTCTTTCGATCTTTTCTTACATGTCATTTATTCTTTCTTTCGTCCGTCTCCCCTTTCTTTCTTTTCACTTCTTCGTTTCGTCTTTCGTCCTTATATATCCTTTCTATTTTTACATTCCACCTGGTCTTAATTATTTCTTTAATTCTTTCTTCTCTCTTTCTTTCCTAACCCTTTTTATATTCACCCAATTTTTCTTTTACTTCACTCCTAAATCTTTTTCTTTCATCAATTTCTTGACTTCATTTCTTATTATAATTTCATTTTTCTTGTTGACGTGACCTTTTTTCGTTTCATTCAATCAATCTTTCATTCATTCTTTATTTATTTAGTTTCCTTCCGATACTCGTTTTTCATTTCCATTTGTCGTTGCTTTCTTTCGTTTCTTTTCGTTCTATCATTTCTGTTTTTATATTCGCCGTTTCTTTCTTTATTTTCTTCGTTGTTTCTTCTATTTTCAGTCTTCTGCATCTTTCCTCATTTCGTAACATTTTCTTTTATACATTTCCTTCCTTTACTTTTCTTTCTTTCTTTCTTTCTTTCTTTCTTTCTTTCTTTCTTTCTTTCCCACACTCTTTTGTTTCTTTTACCTCTCTTTCTTTCATTTTACTTCCTCCTTTTCCTTACATTTTCTTTTTATACATTTCCCTTTCTTTCTTTCTTTCTTTCTTTCTTTCTTTCTTTCTTTCTGTTGTGGATTCCGGGTTGAAATCCGGTACGAATAAATAACAAACGCCAGGAATGAATATATGAAAATAATGTATTAACGTAATAATACAAACTGGTAAAGCAGGTTAGTAGTTCCAGGAATACGGGTTAGTAGCAAAATATATACACAGTCTTTGGTATTGAAGTATCGCTGTATGACTTTTTACTGAGTCTACGTGCTCGCTCATAGTGACTCCTACAACAATGTTACCTCACCCCTCACACTTCCGGTTACCTACAACCTTTTACTCTGTCATTCTGGACTCGACTCGATGGTCTTGCTCTCTCGGGTCTTCACGTAGCCGTAGTATATACTGGTTGAGTCCATTTGTGTAAAAAGGGGAGAACCCCTCAACACTTTCTTTCTTTTTTACTTTCTTTCTTTATTTATTTATTTATTTATCTCCGTTCACTCCTTCTTTCTTCCTTTTCTATCTTTTAACATTGTCTTACAAATCGCTTTCTATTTGTACTTTAGAATAATTCATACTATTTTCTCATCGCTTGATCTAATTTGTTTGTTTCATTTCCTTAACTTTTTGCATAATCTCCCTTGTCTACTAATTTGGCGACCACTTCCAATTGTTTTGTTTTCACTGCATTCACACTTCACGTATTTCTTTCTCCCGATTCTTCTCCTTTTTTCCCGGCCATTATCTCCAAATCTAGCTGGATTTACTCATTTCTGGTAATCTACATCTCTCTTAGAATAGGCTGTGCTAGGGGTAGTTTAGACCACCACCGCATTTGTATACATCCGATTTCTCAGATCGAGTGAATGAACCTCAGGTTTCATTCGCCCGACCTGAGAAAGCGATGACCATCCTTTTTCGAACCTCTTGGACTGCCGATAGGAAATCCTAAAGAATTATATCAAACAGCAGCAACCACATCACTTGAGGACTTTCAACAACTACAACAACAACAGCTAAAATGAATAACGCATAAAACTCGAAGTGAAAATAATAAGATATTGATGTCCCACTCTACTTTAAACAAATAGATAGGAAGGAAACTCCCACCACTGCTGGGGAAAAGCAACAAGTAATACTAGACTTGAGAAACCTATTTTCCACGCAAAGTGTCTTAATAGGAAGATTTTATAAATTTCGTCTGTTCGGTCAATGAATACCGAATATTTCTTTATAAGGAAACATAATATTACTGTTCTCCTTCTACTTCTATATGACGTGTCCCTTCAGGACGTTGACGATCAAGGCCCTCCACAATTCTCTTTGTCTTTTTGATATCCCTCCCAAAACCTGCTGCACCATCTTGAACACAAACTCGCTAGGTAGGGTATGTTTTTATTTCTTCTGTCGCTCTTTGCCTTCAATCTGTCATGTGCGTATCAAATTTTCCGAGCCCTCTTTCCTCATTATGTTCCCTAGAAATTTCAACTATCTCTTCCTGGTGTTAAGTATAAGTTAAAGATCCGAGTTTAAAAAATAAATGAACGAATTTTTAAAAATATTTAAACTTGAATGATTGCACAAAATAATTGAATCCTATAACCTATGGACGATAATGGGTATGTCCCAGTTGACATAAATACAGTAGTAAATACTGTATGTTGGTCTGCAGTTGAAGATTCATAGTGGAATTCACTTGACTCACTTCTAGCTGTTGACTACTACTTCTACGCGCCGCTGGCGAATCTTATATATGTTGTTCTTGTCTTAAGTTTTATCGTTCATTACCAACTTTCGTGTGATTATTCTATTCAATAACCTTCCCTAGGTTACGACAAATACTTAATGAGAAAAGAAAAGATATGGATCGATTTTTTATTTTTTTTTTAATTATGTCTTTTTCTTCTACTTTTTATTTTGCTTCTACTAATTTGTACTCTTCTTCTTCTTCTTCATTTTCCTCTTTTTCTTTTTCTATGTGCCTTGTCAGTTCAAGGCTGTTCACAATTTCCTATCTTTTCTAGCACTTAATAAGTTTTGTTTATTTGTCATCTCTCCTAAACCATCCATTTACTCAAGCTCGCTGGGTAGATCAGGCTTTGTTTTCCTTTGTCACTCTTGTCTACAATCTGTTCTTTTGCATATCAACTTTTTCAAAACCTTGTACCATAGAAATCTCATAGGTCTATATCTGATAGTCAGTCTAAGTTTCCTTTTCGTTTCTATTTTCTCTGGAACTTTATTCTTGCTCAGATGTTCGATCCATCGTATTCTTAGTATCTTTCTGTAAAATCTGATTTTCTGTTGCTTCAAGTATATTCTTCATCTTCGATGTGATTGTCCAGCATTCACTATCATATAGGAGATCTTATATTGCACCAGAGTTTAGTACCCTTTTCTTGTTTCTGTCGATTTTTTTTTCCGGTTTCTTAATAGAGTTTTAATACTCAAATGTTCTCCCCGGCTAGCATTCTACTATTTTTTCACGCAACAATCAACTATCTTTTTCTAAATCTACCTTCCACTTTCAATACCTATCTCTCCGATTTTTGTTTTTTTGTTTCTCTGAAATAAGATATATAATGGCTTCTCTTCAATTCCTAAAAATTCTTCCTTCACATATCCCGAGGTTTAGTCTTCCTACACACATCTATTTCCTTCTTAACGGTCTTTCCTTTATTATCTCTAATTCTTTATCTTTTACTAAGTTTCCGACATTTAATTCCTTTCCTCTTCGCTTCTACCTGAACTCAACATCAGGTTTTCTCCCCAACAATATCCCACTTCGTCTCACGTCGTTCCCAGCTATTGACTACAACTGCTTATATTTGGGGCCCGGGCATCTCGTGTCATGCCATCGACGCCAAACAAGCGCCAAGTTTAGTGAACCGTGAACGGAGTATCTGCTATTCGTAAAATGGAGACCGTGGAGGTAACGACCAGAAAATTGAAGATCTCTCACGAGTTGCAGCAATGATTGCCGAGATTACGGTGAATGCATTTATGCTTGCACAGCTTCCCGAATAGATTGTCAAGAGATAGATAGATAGATAGATAGATAGATAGATAGATAGATAGATGAAAAGAAAGAAAGAAAGAGAAATAATGAACAGCCAGATAGATAGATAGATAGATGAAAAGAAAGAAAGAGAGAGAGATATATATATAGAGAGAGAGAGAGAGATAATGAACAGGTTGAGATAGATAGATAGATAGATAGATAGATAGATAGATAGATAGATAGATAGATAGATGAAAAGAAAGAAAAAAAGAAAGAGAAATAATGATCATGTTGAGATAGATAGATAGAAATGAACAGGTTGTGATAGATAGATAGATAGATAGATAGATAGATAGATAGATAGATAGATAATGAAAAGTTTGTGCTAGATAGATGGATAGATAGATAATGAACATGTTGATAGATAGATAGATAGATAGATAGATAGATAGATAGATGAAGAGAAAATATATCAAATAATTTTCCATTTCATAAGAGATAGATAGATCTATAGATAGATAAACATAAAATATATTAAATACTTGCCCATTTCATAATAGATAGATAGATGGATAGATAGACAGACAGACAGATACGTGCATTGTGAGATACGTATGAATGAAACAAGATAGATGTGATGGGCAAACTGATGGGGAAAATTCAGATAGCCCATGTATTTGAATATGCTGCTTTTGTAGATGCTGATAGATGTGAATAGACCATGCTATTAACGATATAGCTGCAATCAGATTGAGATTATTAACACGTGTAAGTGCTGAACTGTTACGGGATATCAGTCCTTCTTTGTAGCAGTGAATGCCGGACAATCTCCTCACAGTTGAAGCAAAGAGATGAAGCAAGAGAAATGGGGTTCTACAGATGGTTGCTGAGAGTACCATGGACCGAACATGTGACTAACGAAAAAGTTTGAGAGAAAATTAAAACAAAAAGAATATACTTAAAAGAAGTTTGGAAAATTTGATACACACCTAACAGATTGGAGCCATGATGGACAGTGGAAAGAAACCGCATAACCTATTTGGTGATCTTCAGAGAATGGATGACGGAGCAAGGTTTAGGAGAGATAAGAAATAAAATTTATTAAGAGATACAAAGTACAGTCAATTGTGGCGAGAGATGATCGCTAACATACTGAAGGAATACGCAAAATATAAGAACATGAACAAGAAGAACAATTAAAGATACAAGAACGGGAAATGTAGATATAGATTTTAATAGGCAAAAACTGGTTCAAATAGAAACAGGCTGAGAATGATATGGACGGAGGGGAGCAGACTGAGACAGACATAAACGAAATGACACCGGTAGAAGCAGACTGGCCGATATGAATGAATTGAGACGGATAGAAACAGGTTCATAACGATATGATTAAACTGAGACTAGAGGAAACAGTATAGGCCATTATGAATGAACTCTTATTCATTGATCAATGGAATAATACTGTGATAGATACAACAAGGCAGAGATCGATAAAAACATGCTAAGCCTAATAAAAACAAGTTGAAATCATATGAACGAATTGAAACGGATATAAACCTTCTTAGACTAATATAATCGAATTAACACCGACAAAAGAAAAGTTGGGACCGATAGAGACAGGCTGGGACCGATAGAAACTGGCTGGGACCGATAGAAACTGGCTGGGACCGATAGAGACAGGCTGGGACCGATAGAAACTGGCTGGGACCGATAGAGACAGGCTGGGACCGATAGAGACAGGCTGAAACCTATATTAAGAGGCTGGGACCGACATGAATGAACTGGGATATAGAGGAACCAAAACTCCACCCTGGTAAACAGATTGGGAGATTGCTCATGGATAAAGAGATAAACATTAGAAGAGGCTAAGGTGTAGTTACAAAAAAAGCCTGAGACGAATCACAATGCAAATAAGAGAAATAATCATAAGATCATAGACAAGGAACACCATTGGAAAATTCGTAAACTTAAGGAATCAGCACATATGCTAAGCCACAAAAATCTCCAGAGCCGACCAAGCATAGAAATAAATACAATATGGGAACCAGTAATAAGGAGTGCCAGAGAAAAGCAATGATAACAAAGTTGCAATATGAGTTCTGGTAAAAACAGCAATGATAACAGCAAAATTGCAATATGAGCACTGGTAAAAATGGTTGCTGAAGACATTAGGTTTATAATACCCAGAAATTCATACGCAGATGTCCTCAAGGACACATGGCATAGTGGATAAAGGCGTTGGTTAGAGACAGGACCCAAAGTGTGTGAGTTCAATACCCGGTTAAGGCAGTGGAGAAGGAAATTAGCAGGAGATAACTGATAACTAACATCCATCAAAACATGGCAGTCTACCCCAGTGAGCGAAATAAAGGGCTCAGTTCGAAATTCCAACCAAATTCCGAACGTTGTGATAAATATGGCGACATATAGTCCGAATAATGTAAATAATGCAATCTGTATGATAGTCTGCCTTGTCCAGTGTGTAAGGCAAGTGTCCGTGTTTTGACGGAGTGAGAGAAAAACTAACGCGTCCATGTGATCAACGATGTAATACCTGACCTGAAGTGACAGAGGAATAGCGGCAAAGACAACGTATCTTGAACGATGGGGATATGACGTTTTGTGGCATTCAGGCAAATGTGTGCTGAATTCTATGTATCGCTGAACATAGGTTCGCCAGCGGTTCTTTTCGAAAAGTAGAAGGCAGACGCTATGGTTCTAACCGCAAGAGGAAAAAAAAAACAACAAAATTCGAGATAAATGTTGGTGATATAAAGCAGGTGCAGCAGTTCAAATATCTGCGAAGCGTTTTCACAGAAGATGGAAAATGCGACACCGAGATCCGAACAAGTATTGGACTATCGAAAGAAGCATTCCAAAAGCTAAGCAAGGTAATAAGAAACGTAAAACTTTGTTAGAAACAATGAATAGTGTGCCGGATTGCTGTGTGGCATCCATCCACTTATATGGCAATGAATGTTGGACAATATCCCTAAGGATGGAGAAGAAACTAGAAGCTGAAGAAATTACACTTAAAATCAGTTCCTTCAACATATAATGAGGAAGGTTGGTATAATCACACGAGTGTTAGTAATGAACGATAATACTTAGGTAAAGAACAACACATATAAGATTCGCCAGCGGCGCGTAGAAGAAGTAGACAACTGCTAAAAGTGAGTCAAGTAAATTCCACAATGAATCTCCAACTGCAGGATATCTACCAATCGCCCCATGCGGTCAAATGTGGCTCGAGGCCGAATTTAATGCGGGGTATCCGATCCCGTAAGCTAGACCAAAAATTCCCCGTAGACCCATTATAAAACGAAGTCGGGTAGCCGTTTCCCGAGACGAGACTCTATCCTTCGACACGTCTGGGGATCCTCTCTGCCCGGAAGTAGAGAGTTTGACCGGTACAGCTGGAGACGAATCTCCAACTGCAGACCAACATACAGTATTTACTACTGTATTTATGTGAATGGGGACATACCCATTATTATCTGTAGATATGCTACCACAGAAACAAACCTTACGGGGCATATTGAGGTCACAAGAACTAGGGGAAAGTAGAGAGCTACTTACCTGACGAGCTTCTATGAATGGGTGATGGAATGTGGAGCGGGGGTCTTAGTAGAGGGAGAAAAACTACTGAGTCGCAGAGACAGAAAGTTGTGTAGAGCCATGATCGCCTATGTCCTGAAGGAACGTGGCTCATAGAAGAAGACCTTATACAATTATTTCAAATCTACCAATTTTTTATAAGCAAAATCTTATTTTTTTTATTTTTATGTTGTTCCTCAGAAGGATGCTGAGAATTCCATAGGCTGAATTAGTAAGCAATGCGGAAGTCTTAGAGAAAACGACAACAAAAATAAGATTCTACTCAATATCACAACAATCCTTGCATGAGAAAGAAGGACTTGAAAAACTTAGCCCTCACGGGGCATACTGGGTCAGGCGATATAGGAAAGGGATTCGGTCTTGTCTGAATGGATGGCGGTATTAGGGTTGGAAGCCTTAGCAAAAGGTAAAAAAAGACTGCTAAGAGCTTCACAGGACCGTGTATGGAACGAGACATATAGAAGAAGAATTCTGATGAAAGTAATACCAAGAAACATTTTTTTTTAAAAATCAGTTCAACCTAAGCAAGGTCATAAATACGCCAGGAGATCCGGTAACTGAAAGAGAGTGAGAATATTTTAATGAGGAGAAATGACAATATAAGCAGAGGGTTTAAGAAGACCGAAGACGGCAGTTGGCGTTACAAATACATTTTCGATGACAGTATCAGGGAAACAATGAACTGGCAGAAAGTTCCACAGTTAAGAGGCACGAAAAAAGGAAATTATTAGAATAGAACTGACGACTGAATCTAGCTAGATCAACAATAAAACAGTGATACATATTTGCCAATATCATAGTACGTTTAAATTCCTGCAGTCGGGGCGCCAAGCAAGAAAGCTCATCACGGCAATTGCTTTGAAAATATTTATAGAAAAGGCAGTGAGGAGACATCACGGCGGTGAGAAAGCGACTGAAGTCGAGATGCTGAGTCAAGATCGATTACATTAAAGATCCTTCTTTGGATTTTATTAAGAACTAGCAGTAGAGCCCGGCGTTGCCCGGGGATGTAACAGTAAGAGATAGATCAAGTATCGACCATCATAAAGACTGAAAAATTAAATTGACAAAGATTATTGTTTAAGGTTGACGGACATGCATGTCTTAATTAGTTTTTTTTTTTTTACGAATTGGTCAAACCCAAATTCAAACAAAAACATTGTTTACAATCGTTATGAGTCTATCGATTGGTGAATAGAATTTTATTATAAACAATTGTCTTGTAAATTGAATTTTTAAAGCATTCTGAATGTAAATAAAGAAAAAAGTGTGCAAGACAATAAAATACCTGCCGAAAAAAAAGTGGATGTTTGTTTTATCGGCTGAAAAATGTAAGAAATCCGATCCCATATATATAAAGAACACACACACACACACATAAACAACCTGGGTCTTTTAACCTAAGTCACTCCACGGAATCGCTAAAACATAGAGCATAGTCTGATGAAAAAAAGACGCCAAAGTTTATGAAAACAAAATTTTATCGTCAAAATGCTTATTTTTTTAAAAGAGGATAGACTAAATTTTTTAATTATTTTAAAAAATTTTTCCATCTTTTAGAATATTCTAAATTTTGATTTAAAAACCTTGTTTCTCTTTGTCGCAACAAGGGGTAGTAAATAACATAGATAATTTTAGCGCATTTTTTGTATTTACACCCATTAATTTGGAAAATCTCGCAAAATAAAAATAATTGTCAGATGTTAATGCAACTTTCAGAAACTATTCACAGATGATCGAAATTATTATAAATATTTTTTTTTATTAAAGTCATGGCAGAAATATTTTTTTATATTTATTAACACCCCATAACTAATTTTATGAAAAACTCTAGAAATTCGAGACCATTGGTTTTAGTGATTACAATAGTTAAAAGCACAAGGCTTTTAAGAATGCAAATCATGTTTTTTTTTTTTTTTTTTTTTTTGGCCAACGTACCTGAAAATCAGCTGTGAATTGTAACATACAAAACTCAATAAAACAAATATATTATTTAGTTTCAAATGCTTTTATTTGTTTTAATTTGTTTTTTTATGAATATGGACAATATTTTCTGAAAGCAAAAAATTTTTTCAATGAAAATTGAATTTTTAATACAATTATTTCTTATTTCTTTAATTTTAAAAGATTAAAAAAAAATGTTTAAATTGAATTTAAAAATATTTTAACATTAGTTAAAAGCAACATCAACCTTTCAAAATGTCCGTGTGAGATTGTCATTGTCTAGCGCTTTGAAAATTGTATAATTTGGACCAATCAGATTAGCCATGATAATTAAGAAATGTAATTTTTGTGTTTATAGTCGGACAGTAATTATCAAGTATGGAAGACCAACCAGAATACAATTTAGTTGCATTATTTGAGTTCAGCATTGTTCTCCACTGTTAAGCCCTTTACTTTTGCGAAACACGTATGGAGAAGTTAATTTGAGTTTTTCAATTTCAACTGAGAAAGGGTACCTACAAGTAACAGTATCATCTTATGAAATTTAACTACTGCTAAACTTTAATTTATATGATCTTATTTTTATATTAATCTCAGTTATGACATTTTCCCATAAATGAAATATCAAAATTAATAATAAAATGAATGGAAATAAAAATAACACAGTAAAATGTAATAAATGTACATAAAATTATAGTATTTTATGTACACTTCTGATAAAATTTCATAAGAAAGGTACCTAAATTAATTAGATACCGTTTTCTTATGAAATTTAATATCACTATTAACAGTCTTATTTTTTAATTTCTTTATATTTTCCATAAAGCATCGTAAACGTAAAAATGAAAGCTAAGTACAAAAAATAAAAATAAAAAAAAAATTAAAAATTAAAAATTAGAGCGCTGAAAGTTTTCCTTAAAAGTAACAAGGTAAATAATTTGTTCACTTAAATAATTTCACTTCCTTCCATCCGTAGAAAGAATTCTCCTCCCGTAAGTTATCTAAACGTCATGAATGTGCCTTTCGTCAATCGTCAAGCGACGCGAAAGGTTATGACCTGCTTTGTTTTATTTTCAAATTAAATTTTTTCGGCGCTGAAGCTAAGTTAAGCTTGGTTCAAAATATTTTAAATAAACAGTATAATATCTGTTTTTATTAAAATCAGTTTTGAAAAAATGATAATTGACTTTTAAAAGAATATCAAAGTAAGATTTTAATCTTTTTATCAAATCGAAAAAATGATTGAAAATGATTATCTGCCCTTTTTTTGACCAAAAAAAAGAATACTTTAATGAAAATTTCAGACGTGCTTGGAACGATTAAAAAATGTAAAAAAATACCCCCAAAATACTTTGATCTTTCCTCTTTAATAATAATATGAACATTAGACGATAAAATTTTGTTTTCGTCAAGTTCGGCGTCTTTTTCATCATGCTATGCTCTTTTGTTTACATTTTCGTTGGTGAGTTCTCCCCCATTCATTCTCACGATGTGTCTTAATCGTGTTTTCAAATTGATTTTATTAAAAAACAACTGTATTTTTCACATTTTCGCCCCCGTTAGAACCACCACAAGGTAATTTTATGTAGTCCTGTGAAGTTTTGTTAAAATCGGCTAAAAAATGTAGGAAATTCGATCCAACATATAAACGTTACAGACACACACACACAACCTGCATTTTATAATAAGTAAGATCTTGAGATATATCTTAAGAGCACAACCAGATGCAAATAATATTTAAATAACAAACACGGAAAGAATCATAATTCTGTTAAGATTTTTGTTTTTTATCCGACCGAGGAGTGGTTCCAAATCAATTCTGGTCAGATTGAGCAAGTGGCACGACCGCAGATGTTTTTCTACCTTTGTGTATTCTCACGCTGTTCAAGAAGATTCTAGTTATGACGACAACAATTCTTTCATTTATTTTTACATAATTTCATCATCATAAGGCATGAAAATCTCCTGAAAATTAGATGTAATGAATGGCTTCCAAAAAGCACGGGCAAATAAGACACCCTCTCATTTCTGCACGACATATTAAGGTACAAACTTATAGTGACGGTAATCGTTTAATGCTCTCTCTCTCTCTAACTGGGTAATAATATCAGCAATAACTATAAATACACGTGGAAATTTCGCGGCTTTCCTTTGTAAAGTTTCTGACGAATAAAATTCGTAATCTAATTACTGAATGAGACCATTGTGGCTTCCCTGACTATAAAACACACATGGAAATACCCCTGTTGGCTCGTTAAATATTTGTGCTTGACATCTTTAACGAAACAGAATAATGACAATCATAAATAAGAATGTAAATCATTAAAAACGTAAGTACGTACAAATGAAAAGATTAAAAACTGACAAGTTTTTTTCCATCTCACTGAAGCAGACGTTAAACACATGCGAGTGTTATCGCTTCCACTATCTCCCCTTTCTTTCTGTTCCGATTTTCACTAACGCCCAACAGTACCATTGATATATATTTTCTTCCTTCTGTTACAGAATGCAAAGGCCCATGCCAGAATTGTCAGCAATTGGTCGGAGTGCAACGTGGGCATGGCATTCTGATACTGATCAATAGCCTTTGTCCGGGTTTTTTGGATATAATCTAAAATGGCCGGAATTTAACTGAGGGTCTCAAGAATCCTGAAGCGTCGATAGGCTTCCCACACCCAGGTTAGCGACCGGCTAAGATCACCAGCGGTGGGACGTTGAGACAACGGGCGAGATGTGTTGCTCGGACGTCATTCCTCCGACTGCCTCTTAGAATCCAAGCCGCCACCACTCTCTGCTATTAAAACGAATGAGAAAAAAAGAAACGGCCCTTTTCGTTGATACTATTTTATGTAGTAGCGTGGGGATGCAGGAACGTCAGAAAATACAACACTTCAATCCTCGAAATCTAATTAGAATGACTTATTGTTTATCTACGGTTAGTGGCAGGGCGTACCATACGATCTATCTATCTATTTATCTATCTATCTATCTATATATATATATATATATATATATATATATATATCGTATTCTTTTTCTATCTATCTATCACATTCTGTTTGCATCTTTTTATCTATGTATCTATCTATCTATCCTATTCTTTTTGTATCTATCTATCACATTCTGTTTGCATCTATCTATCTATCTATCTATCCTATTCTTTTTGTATCTATCACATTCTGTTTGCGTCTTTTTATCTATCTATCTATCTATCTATCTATCTATCTATCTATCTATACTATTCTTTTTGTATCTATCTGACTATCACATTCTGTTTGCATCTTTTTATCTATCTATCTATCAACAATTCGCCCTTGCATGGAGTATTGCTGCCATATATGGTCTGGAGCCCCTTCTGTTTGCCTCGGGGTTCTTGATAGGCTCCAGAGGCAGATATGCAATATAATTGGCCCTGATCTGACATCTCGTCTACAGTCGCTTTGTCACAAACGCGCCGCCGCCTCTCTCTGTCTTTTTTACAAAAACTTTCATGGCAATTGCTCCGAGGAGGTGCATTCGCTGGTTCCCAGACTTCATGAATTCAACCGCCCTACGAGGCTGGCATCCCGCTCTCACCCCTTCACTGTCAAAACTCCTAAATGTAGCCGTCTCTTCTACTCCAATATCTTCATGTCTCGCACCTCTCGCTTGTGGAACTCCCTTCCATATTCCAGTTTCCCTGAGAGCTATAACCTCCAGCTATTCAAATGTAATGTCAATCGACATCTCCAGTTGCCTTGATCTATCCACTACCCTTCTCCCCATCCTTTCTTCTATCACTCCTATCTGATCTTGCTACAAATTTTTCTGCAACCCCTCGCGTTCGAGTGGCTTCTCGGCTTGCTTGGGGTGAAACGCTTAAAAAAAAAAATGGTAACGTCAAGTATATTTTCCTTAGCAAATGGATTTATGGCTTTTTTCTTGACTGAAAAGAGAAGTCCGTATTCACTGATTTTATTTTTCTTTCTCTCATTTTTAACCTGGACAAAATCGAATTTCATTTTTCTCATCATCAGACATTATCATGATTCTAATAATCATTAGACACATTGTCCACGTCAGTTGGTTGCGAATTTCACTTTTCTCATCATCCGACATTATCATGATTCTAATTATCGTGAGTCACATTGTCCACGTCAGTTGCTTTTAAATATCTAAAGACACCTAACAAATTTGTATACCTCGATTAATGCTTTTTCGATTAGCATTGTTATATACCAAAATCCGATTAGCGCATAATAATACTCGATAGTACGTTAACCATAGTAATCGAACCATAGTAATTGAACCATAGTAATCGAACCATAGTAATCGATCCATAGTAATTGAAAATTGATCTTTTCATAGTTACCGATAAATCAAAAATTTTCTAAAATTTAAAAGTGGAAAATGGGTAACTATTTTGTTTTATCAAGTATTACATTATCTAAATAATTACAGAAGTGTTAAAAAAGCGATAAATTTTATAATATAAGCCGATAATAAAAAAAATATCTGAATATTTGTCTCTATTAAATTGTTTTGAATATTTTGACTTTTTCAGGTTTGTTTTGAAGGACTTAAAAGCAAATTTCAATTTTTTTAATTTTTTTTTTTTTTTTTTAAACTAGAGGAATTTATTAGATACAGAAATTTACATTGATTAAAGAATATCAAAATATAAAAAATAAAAAATAATAATGATTATGATATGTTTAGAAAACTCATGTGTCACATTTTTTAGATTTCCTCTGCAAGATCCTTGTATTTCAATAGCTTTTTTTGAAAATCTTCAAAGATAAATTAGACACTGCAGAGACTATCAAAATATATTCTGTTCTTGTGGTCCTTAATTACGATGTCAGAAACTTTGATTATTCTGTCTGTGTGTCATGTAAAGTCCAATAGAATTGTTACATTTCTGTAACTGGTTCTCTTTCTTGTAGTTTCTTTCACGCAAAAGTTGCTTATTTTCCAATGAAAATATTGGAGCTTCTCTATCAAGCCAAGTTTTATATTCACTGTACAGCTTGTTACAAGATGGTCAATTTTTTCTAGATTTTGAGTTAAAACAATTTTTCAGTAGGTAAGCTTGGTAATTTCTAGTTTGCAAGCATTGGTCTTGTTCAACAAGAATAAAACCTTCGCTTTCATATTTTAACCCTATATTACGTAACCACTGATTGTTACGGGGATTTATTTACATCAACTTGTTTGGTACGGACATAGTATTGGCCATAAAGTCTCTTATCTTGCTATTGTTTCTGCATTTGGTTCATTGAATTTGCTTTCACTTTCATTTTTCGGCTTTTTTATTACTATTATTATTAATATTACTCTTATAATTATTATTCATGCTGTGAGTTAATGATTTTTGGTGATAATTATCTGACAGAATATATTCTAAGATTTTCCTCCATACTTACCTTCATTATGAAAATGTCGTTGTCTGGATTTAATATTTCGATTCCTCTCCGAATTGGAATTTCGTTTCCATATTTTTCATAGACATTTTTTTTGTGTTTCCTCTACTTCTCTTTTATTTTCCTACATCTGCTTCCAGTATTCCAAGAAACTGGCGGCATTTTCCATTGAATTTGTCCCAAGTTTCACGATTCGATAAGTGTTCTTTTTTCTGTTGATTAAAGTTTTCCTACGAGCCTCACTGATATTTTACAATTCCAAATTCACAATCCAATTTGGTGGTCCAGTTAAAAAAAATCCTATTATTTGAAACAACAATTCCAGTTCAGATTCCTTTCTTTCAAATGGTTTATTAATAATAGTAAACATTAGTATTACTAATAGTACCTGATGTAATGAATATGAATACACCTGGTCCCCCCTCACAGTAATATGATTGGTTGGTGTCAGACATAAATACAGACTGATGTAGAGGTACTTGGACAACGCCTATTGGCTACGCCTATTGTCTTCGCCTATTGCCTACGCCTATTGCCTACCACTACGACGAGGGCCAGTCCATTACGGTTACCTGCTAGATTGTCCTACTCGGTTACAATAGTCCAAAACCTCTTTGCTACTTCGAACAAATATATCCCTTTCCGGGACATATCAGTACCCGTGATAATTTAACGGCTTTCCTATTTTTATTTTATTTTCGTTCTTTCTCCCGCTGAATTCAAATTGCGTCTCTGATATGTCTTTTCCGTCATTCCTCGGGATCAAAACCGAACAGTTGATTATTTATGAGGCAATGACAGGATTTTTTCTTCCTTTTTTTTTCTTTTCTTTTCTTTTCTTTCTTTCTTTCTTTCTTTCTTTCTTTCTTTCTTTCTAGGTTTGCTCTCACTGAAACCAAACAGCGTCTCTCTATATATCTTTTTCCGTCTTGCCTCGCGATCAAAATGGAGCAGTCCATTTTTTGAGGAGTGGACAGAGCGTAATGTACCTACTAAAGAAAGAAGCGACACACAGAAGTATAATAAAATGATTTCTACGTTGAGTCGCAATTGATAGTTGACATTGGAGATCAAGTGACAGCTCGGCTGTTAAATGCTTCAGCACTCTCGTCGGTACCCTAAACGTGTTCATTTATGCCGTTGTCTAAGGAGTCTTTAATATTCTTCAGATTTCCGTTTCCTATCACGTTATCTCTAGACTTTTAGAGATCGTCCCAGTGCTCAAATAATGAATGGCACGACTGTCATTTTATTGTCCATTAGTTTCTTAAGATACCTGGTAAGGTCCAGATACTGCTCAATATTCCTCTTTTCTTTCGATTTTATTTTTTGGTCAGCTGGAACAGAGGATTATAATATATAATACTATTTTTGTCTGTCTTCACAATTTTTTTTCCGGACAGTATTAGGTATCACGTTGGAATTTCAAATACCCAAAATAATACGTATTGTTTATATTCCAAGACTCTGGTTTGTGCATTTTTAACGTAAAATAGGCTGTGCTAAATGATGTTCCTCTCAACACCGAAAATTGCTATGAAACCATGTTCTTAAATAACGTTATCAGATCAAGACTTTCATATGGATGTTATGCATGATGCCAAATCCGTTCTTTTTTTTAATCTTTATCACCCCAAACAAGACAGTACAGCTACTAACACGCAAGGGGTTACAGGATATGAAGGAATTAGGAACAGAAACATTAATGATAAGTAGAATGAGAAAAGAGTAATCAAGACGATTGACATTGCATTTAAATTATTGAAGATTGAAGTTGGCTAGAAACCATGGATCCGGAAGGTAGATCCACAAACGAGAAGTGCGAGAAAAGACACTGTCAGCATAGAAGTTACGGCTACACCTAGCTAGCTCAAATGTAAATTGATGACATCTTGCCGACATTCTAGTACTGCGCTTAAATTCAAAAGGTCTAGGATAGATAGGAAGAGAACATCCGAATAATTACCATGAAAGTATGTATAAAAAAAGACACGGAGAGGCAACCTTACGGCGGTGGACAAGTGACTGAAGCCGAGGCGCCAGGTCAGGACCAATAATATTGCTGATTCTTCTTTGGATTCTCTCAAGGAGGTCAAGGTAAATAGCAGGGTCACTGGACCATATATGGCAGCAATAATCTAAGCATGGACAAATGGTAGACTTATAGATATGCAAGTAAGATTTCAGAGATAAAATTGTCTCGACCGCCACAGCGAACTGACTTTCTTAGCCTCTGACCTAACAGTGGATTTTTATATAGTTTTTTTCATTTCATGTCAGCGGAGGACGTTAGCCCGAAAAGACGCAATGAGTCACTTTCCTGGAGGCGTTAAAATTGACAGGTTAACGCCGATTTGGAGACCAGCTGCCATTTTGATCTAAAGTGTCAACTTTATGCAGGTAGTTGGTAATAGAAATGCTGAAAAAAAAAAAGATTTGAACGAATAAAGCCTAAGAGTCTTGGCAATGATCATCATTTTTTAACACTATGGATGGCGCTGCACAATCATGACAAACAACTGCACCAAATAACAGAAGCTATATCACTTAAAAACCACCAACAGCTGCAACAGATAAAGTGGGTAGTACATGTAACTCGAAAAGAAAATAACGATATAATCAAGTTTTTAATATTCGATACCACCACTTCAAATAGAAATTTAGAATGAAAAACCCAGTCAATAATGAAAGCGATAACAACCACTGGACTTGAGAAAACCTGGTTTCCTCATGTTTTAAGAGAAAGTCTTTTTTTATTTTATTATTTTATAAATTTCAACCGAAAGTAGTACAGGCTGGTCGGTCAATAAATAACAATTGGTTCCTTATTGGGAAACGGCTAATATT